ATCAAGATTGAACACACATACAAGAAATACTGATGATGCTCTCTGATTTGTGCATATTAAGCGCTAAAAAACTTGAAAGTATTTCTAGATGAGCACCTACGATCGTTTGATGTTGCACGATTTTCCTCTTCATAGTTCTCAAAGCGTCTTTGTACAACGTTCAACAGTATACCTTTTTGGCAATTGGATTCTTCGTTTTGCCAGAAACGAGGTTTTGAAATTAATGTAGTTTGAATTCATCACTCATAGCCTTTGGATCGATTAGGTTCTTTAACTGACCAAACCAATCAGGCCACTGCAAAAAAATTCCGTCGAAAGAAGACAATTTCCAATAAGGCAGGGGTTCTTCTGGTCGATTGTCAAAATTAGGTATTGCTTTTTATGCCTAGAGACGCTGTTGGCCCAGCTTGTTTGTACTCATTTGATTCATGTGATATCAATGGTTTTAAATCGGTACTGGTATGTGAAGCGTTGGGATTACCGACATAATACTTAAAAAGTATTCCGCCGATAGAGAACGATGAACAATCGACGGTTGCGTGACACAAGATGGAGTAGGCGAAACGTGATTTTTGATGTATAGGGGCAAACCTGTTTTTAGGTCAAAACGGCTGACAAAAAAATTGCAGAACTAACAGAGAATGACTGTTGTTGAGCAATTTCCATTGAGCTCGTTGGGTTATCAGAAACTACTCTGCTTCAAAAGCTAGTAGCTATACATAGTGATCAAAGTTAGCTGTACCTGCGGCTCGTATATACTAGTTACACTTAGATTCGGCAAGCGTACACTTTTATTTGACGTATGACGGTTGTTACAACTCTGTGAGTTTTTATAAGTGTTTTCAAAAAAGTTGGCATTTGGGTGAGAGTTATGAACAATTGTCAGATTTCTACTTCAAGGTTGGTTCTAACGTATTAATTAGGACCATTTATTCATGAGTGATAGGGCCAACATACGAGCTGTACAGCTCATTACGGCGAACCGCTGTTGTGCCCCTGCTGAAGAACTACATGCAAGTTTTTTTGAATAGTTTCTGGGCTGGGTAATGTTGCCTCGCCCTCATGTAAAGAGCACGGATCATGGTTGGCCTCAAACATCCGACCTTTCGATTGAGAGGCGGAGACGTAAACACTTCACCGCTGCTTGACAATGACAAGTAACAAGAAGGGTCTAATATGACACTTTGAACCGGCGGCATGAGCTCAACCAATTCCTGAGCTGGCAACTGGTGTTCACACGACATCTGGTTCAGTTTTTGTCTGTATGATTGTACTGAACTGCCATCGCGAATTTAACCTGCTTCGACGGAGCCAACTGAATTAGGAAGCTTCCTCCAGTTACTCAGCTTCTTCGATAGTTGCTTGGCGCAATTGCTACCTGTCATCTTGAGTAGTAGTTTCAAAGTGTTTTTTGCTGGTCCTAAGCATCATCATTTTTTGCAGCTTGAATTTCTATGTAAAAATTGAGTAGTTGATTTTTGATTTCAGCAGCGTTTTTGCTGTGCATGAACAGGAATTTAATTTCTTAATTTTTTTCTATTGCTTTTTTTGTTAGCAACTACTAGGTTTTTTGATGAATGTTTTTATTTCAGCTGGTTTGTCATTCCCACTTATATACTTTGTAACTTTGGCTCGGAATTTAGTTCGAAAAGATTTCTGGCGAGTTAAGTTTTGTTCAGTTATTGGCCGAGTTCAAGATCCGTCTATAATTTTTTTTCAAGCTGATATAGTTTATATTAAAGTAAAGCAGCTGTCGTATAACGAACAAGAAAATCAACACAAGACTTTAACGAATCTCGTTGCTCATGGAACAGAATGAGAACAAAGTACGAGGTTTAAATTAAAGATGAATTTACCAATTAAAGAAGAAAAACAATTATGATTATCTACCCTCATTTTGGAAACTTTAGGCTTATTTGATTTCCGTTTCCTAGGCATGGTCCACATATCTTTTTTTATTGATAAGTTCAGATGAAATTAGGATAAATAACTGATCATAAATTGGAGATAACCAACGATGACTGAGTTCTAAATTTTTGATTTCTGAAAATGCTGAAAGCTGATATAGTTTATACTAAAGTAAAGCAGCTGTCGTACAACGAACAAGAAAATCAACACAAGACTTTAACGAATCTCGTTGCTCATGGAACAGAATGAGAACAAAGTACGAGGTTTAAATTAAAGATGAATTTACCAATTAAAGAAGAAAAACAATTGTGATTCTCTACCCTCATTTTGGAAACTTTAGGCTTATTTGATTTCCGTTTCCTAGGCATGGTCCGCATATTTTTTTATTTGATAAGTTCAAATGAAATTAGGATAAATAACTGATCATAAATTGGAGATAACCAACGATGACTGAGTTCTAAATTTTTGATTTCTGAAAATGCTGAAAGGTGAAATATTTCGAGTTTAAGAATTTATTTTCAAATCCTGTTTCCACAAAACAGCCACAATATTGTTTTTTTTGACGTTTTACGTATGCAATGGCTGCTACTTTGTTTTCGATTTTTTAAACATGCAACGAAATTTTTTGATAAAAGTGGTTTACATTATTTGATCTATGCTTGCTCAAAGAATAATAAATTAAATATTTCCAAAGTTTTACTTTCTCCGTATCAAAGATTTTGGGGAGTTGTTTTAAAAAGATTAAACGGTCTACCGCCGGTAAATAAGAATGATGTGTTTTTAGAGGGATGGAGAAAATTGCAGCAATCTTGAACATCAATGATGGTACTGAACAATTGAAATCTTTTACTGGTGGTCAACAAAGAGTTGTTTTAATGTAATATTGTCTTAAGTAAGTGAAAAGCAAATTAGGTTTGGTACTTAACGCGCTTGATTTTATTGTTTATAATGCACATTGTAATGGCGAATTGATAATAGCAATGTTCATGGCGGTATGCGGATCAGAAATTGACCAGCCGAGCTAATTTTTAACGATTGTAAAACTACTGGAGGAAACTGAGGTAAAGATTCAATCAACAAACTTACTCGACACAGTTGGCGGGTCTTAACGAATGAGCGGACGGGACAAAAAACGGCTCTTTTTGGTTTCAACTTACATTCAAGTAACAATTCAAGACTTTTTGTCAATGAAAATTTTGGTAAAGTGAGTATAAGTTTTTTTTAGGAAATTTTTGTTTCTTGAAAATTATTTTGTGACAAAGTTTTTAGGTTCGAGGCTCTCGTGGAATACATGGTTACTGGGTATGTATTTGGATTACGTTATCTAATAGGGTCTTCATCGGTTTGCAATGATCGTATGTAATTTTACAGCATTAAATGGTGAAAAGTGGAGAGGTGTTATAGGATTAAGAGTTACAACATTAAAGGTTGTAACACTTGTGGGTGAAAAATTACGATAAAAACGTCTGCTGAAAGTTGTGCTGAAAAAACCGTTGACTGTATTCGGATTTTGATCAGTTTAAACCGGGAGGCGCACACTAAATTGAGTGGAATGGGGATCTGATGTGCGTTATAAGGTGTTGAATTGCGTCGTTACCAGATATGTCCGCATTCGGTAGTCTGTCCATTCAGTAAAAGTCGGTTTCGATGTATGAATTAAATGTCTTGTTAATAAGCAAACCGTAGTTCAGAAAGTAAGTCGGAGACAATAAGATAGCTGTCATCCGAAGGTGACAGACAAACTCCGAAGGTTAAATACCGGTTAGCGCCAGACAGATAATTGAAATAGATAACACGACTAGAATTGAAACATGAACTAAATTTAGATACTATGACATTTCCCTCCTTGTAATAAATAATACTCAAATCCAATATCCAATATCTATGTTAACCGTAAACAATAGGGTTAATAACAAGTTTTCAAATCAAGTTTTTCAAATCAACTACAGTTCTTTTAAACACAAGCTTTTGAGTTTTTGCTGGTACACCGCATGCCTCTCCCTGGACCTTCCCATTTTAGCAAAGTTTTATAGATTGTTTTGAGCTCCATTTTATTCATCATCTTTTCACTCTTTTTCTTCGATTGCTCCGGCTTTGTCCGTTTTTCTAATGTTGTCAATCATGGCCCCCCCCCCCATCTTGGTCACTGCGGTCCGCTTCCTGCCCGAGCGTCTCGAGCTTGTTTCATCCAACGAGCTGGCCGAATCTTGGCTAGAATAGGAAACAAGTCGTTGTTTCCGGCCCCGTTTCTTTCCCCCGGTTACTGATATATGCTTTGGTTCGCGCTCCGTTTCTTGTGGTTCGATTCCTTCGGTATTTGTTTCTTGTGGTTCGGCTCCTTCGATATTTTTTCTCCCCCAGTCATTTCCGATTCCTGTTTCACCTGCCAACGTGTCTCCTTGTTCCGTCTCCTTATTACTGGGACGAACCCCGATGGCCTCTGGTTGAACTGGATCCCGTCCCCCACTAGATGTTCCCTGTCCATCTTCTCCACCGTTTTCTCGCCCTCTTGTTGGTTTCGCCACTAGGATGGTTGTACTCAGTGGTAACTGGTCCTCCGATTCTGAGTCGGAATTTTCTGCGGATTCCAGAATTTGGAATTTTGCTCCCTTTCCCATGATGTTGTGCTGACTTTCCTTAGTGCCTCTTGAGCTGCCTGGTTGGTTTTGTCTCAATTTTAGCTTCCTTTTCAGATCCCACGGCGTTGGTGGTGTAGGTAATGGTCCTCCCGGCACCCGCTTTTTCGGAACTTTGGCCTTCCTGAGCGCTACTCCTGATTTCCTAAGCACCGCACCGTTACTCATTTTAATAGTATGTTCAGTTTGATCAACTATTTTGGACTTTAATGGTCTATACCTATTCATGTTTCGCTCCCCGGTCCTCTGCATTACCACTGCCGGTGGTACCTCCACAGGGTCGTTTGGTGCCCGTGCAATCCCAGGCTCATCATCTTGATTAGCTGCCTGTTCCTCGGCCAATCTTAGTGGTCCCCGTCTATTTTTCCGGTCATACTCAGTATCCGATCGGATTCCCCAGTTGGTGTCCATCGGCTTCGGCATTGTTTGAGCTATCGGGTCTCGTTCATCTAAACATTAATATTTCGATCGTATTACATTTTCCCAATTTAGATTCCGTAACGTAGGTTTTTTAGTCAAGTTCCTGAGGACAGTATTAGCTTCCCGGCCGTGGTGCGCTTCGAACGGTGTTATATTGAGGGATGCGTTTTTCACAAATCTTAGGGCTCCGAGGGCTCTTTCAACCATTCGATCCAAGGGTTCCGGTTTATCCTCCCGCGCATACGTCAGCACTGAATTTTTAATGCTACCAATCGTGCGCTCAACACATCCTGTTGCTCTATGATCATTCACTGGCGAAGTGAGGACTTCAAATCCTTGTTCATGACAGAATGTTTTAACTTCCTTAGACATAAAGTTTGTTCCCTGGTCAACTCTGATTTGGCGTGGAACTCCATGAGCGATTATGTAGGCTTTTAAAAATTTTATAATTTTATCCGAACGGTTCGAATTACAGACCATAGCTGATGGCCATCGAGAGAACCGGTCCACCGCCACCAAAACATACTTTTTAGATTCCTTCAAGTAGTTAATGGGTCCCCAAAAATCCAATTGGACTGATTCATTCGGCTCTTTTGGTTCAGGTATTTTCCCTATATTGTCCTTCGAACACATGTTTTTCAAGTTCTTACCCGCTAATGTGCATTCCGGACAATTCCCAGCGATAGTTGCGAGACTACGAAACATGTAAGGGTACCAGATGTCCTTAGCGGCGTCGATCATGCTGGATTTCCCGTGGTGATAATAGTGGAGTCTAATGACCACCGCCGTCTGCAAAGTATTAGGGATCACTAGCCTCTCGTCCATCCACAGGCATCCGTCTCTTACGTGGAAGTCCTGAGTATACTGTGCGAAGTACTTACTCATTGCTGCAATTTTCGAGTGTAACTGGGGGTCTTTAGCTTTATTTAACTCGATAATAGCTTGTAACTGTGGATCAGACTGGTATTGCGATTCTATAAATCGAAGATTAAATAAGTCGGGAAGAGCGGATTGTTTGCTGACTACTTTACAATTTCTTGGTATAATAGACATGACTTTATTTTCCGGATTGACCGGTGGATAACTCTCACCAGGGTAAACCGACGGAATCGAAATAATGGTGTTGGTTTTAGTGCTCCGGACTTCTGTTGTAACCGCCTGTATATTTACATCAATCTCCTCTATATCATCACGACTGCTAATGCTGGGGTGTCGTTCCAATAATTTCTTGAGTTTCCTTTCCAAGATTAAATTGCTTGAATTGTTAATGTTGATTGACGACTTTAAAGATTTTGAGTAACCAAAGTTAGCTTCAATAATAGTCCCAACTGAATTTTTGCTAAACTCAATTGACCTGCCGGGAATGCAATTCGTCGCTCTGTGATTGGTCCAATTTCCGTCGCATGATCGCTCGCCCTCTACCGGTCGTTTTCTAATCGATATATTACAAATGCGTCTATTATTAGTAACCGATGGAGACTCGAGTTTATTTCTAAATCCGAGAGCGGATCTAATTCTACTAATTTTCGCGACCGTAAACATACTATCGTAGGTGCTAATCGGTTGAGGATTTAAACACGGGTGCCTTGAAAGATAATCAGCGAGTCCTGTTTTTGCTCCGGGTTTATGTTCTACTTGAAAATCGAACGGTATAAGACGATCTAACCATCTTGTTAATCTGCTGAACATTGTTTTGTTCTTTTTGTTGTTCCCATTTAGCAATGACACTAATGCCTTATGGTCCGTAACTATTAAAAATTTTCTTCCCAGCACATAATTTCGGAAGTATTCCGCGCCCCACACAACTGCTAACATCTCCAATTCATTCGTTGAGTAATTTTTTTCTGCTGCGTTCAAATACCGGGATGCGAATGATATTGGCCGCCAACCGTCGGAATTTAGTTGCTCAAGGACCGCTCCGAGCCCATTATGACTAGCGTCACACACAATTCTTGTGTCTCTGTGTATATCAAAGTGCCGAAGTTCCACTATATTAGCCACTTGCTTTTTCAGGTTCTCGAATGATATTTGACATTCATCGCTCCAGACAAAATCGTTTTTCCGGCTTAATAATGGGCGTAAGGACGCTGATGATTCCGCGAGCGCCGGAAGATATTTGTGCAAACTGTGAATGGAGCCCATGAACGATTTAAGTTGTGACACCGTTTTTGGTGCTTTCAGCGATTCGATCGGATCTGTTTTCCGGACGAGTGGTGTTATTCCTGTACGGGTTATTTTGTGTCCCAACCATTCACATTCTTTCCGCGCAAATTGGCATTTAATGAGCTTAAGTGCCATGTTTTCGCGATCCAGCTTTCGCAAAATTTTTTCAACTGTCGAGATATGCTCGATCTCCGTGCCTTTGGTGACCACCAAGATGTCATCAATAAAAGCATGTGCCTGCGGAAATTCCGCAAGAATCGTGTCCATTACTCGTTGAAATTCAGCTGGCATGGTAGTAAGACCGTAGAACCCCGTACGAAAGCGGTACGTGCCCGTTGATTTTCCTCCCACCAGCGAAAAATTGCATTGAACGCTCGTTTCCGGGCTAAGTGGTAATTGGCCGTACGCGTACGTAAGATCCATAGTAGAAAAATATATGTCCCCTGATTTCCGTTCGCTAATCGTTTGTCCTACCGTATCCATAAGCTCCTCTATATTCGGCATTTGGTATTTATTTTTGTGGATTTGCTTGTTTAACTCTCTTGATTCTAGCGCTAATTTTACTGATCCGTCCTTTTTCACTGTTATTACAATCGGGGAAACAAAATATTTATCCGAACATTCCTTTAGCTTTTCAATGTGTCCTTGCCGTAAAAGTTTATCAATTTCTTTATCAACCTTTTCTTGCAACGTGATGGGCACTCTACGTCCTTTTTGCTGAATTGGCGTTAACGTTTCGAAAAAATCCGCGTGTACCTTATAATTCTTAATTTTTCCGACTCTGTTAAAAAGACTTTCAAACTGCTTACTGAAGTAGATCTGCCAGTTCTAGTGAGTCCTCTACATCCGTCTCCTCAACTGTGCCTTGATCGCTCTGTACCGACATCACATTTTCTCCGGTGCCTTCTGCACGATCTGTAATCCAAGATTTGGCATTAGGTCTCGTCCAATAATTGATGGTCTGCTTCCTCTAATCACTCTGATGTTTGCGTTGGCCACCCATCCGTTTGTTTCTAATAGTACGTCTATCGTCCCTAGTAGTCGTAATGGGTTGTTTCCGTAATCCCTGAACTCCTCATCCTCCGGTGCCGGTGCCTTCACCTTGACGCCTGCGGTGCCCAATGTCCGTTTCAATTCCCCAATGGTGAATATCGAAATCGGTGATCCACTGTCTATCCACACGTTTGTTTGCTTTCCGTTTACCTTAATTGGTAGTCGGGGGCCGGCCACTTTTAGATCTGTTTCTTTCCGAGATTTGATGGCCATAACAACGTAATCCCCTGAGCTATCCGAATCCCACGATCGTTGTTTCTTGTCCGGTTGTTTCTTGACCGGCGTATTAACCCAGCCGACGGAATTCTCGTGCTGGGAATATGTATCCTCCGCGTCGTCTACTTCAGTAGTTTCCATATCTTCCTGATTTTGAATCAGTCCCACTGCCGGTCTTCCCCGATTATTTCGCTTTCCCCTACAAGTCCTCTCGTAATGTCCCGTCTTCCTGCAGAAGTTACACGTAGCATTTTTCGCTGGACACGCTGTGAGGTGCTCCGGAGTAAAATTGGGTTGGTCACAATTATAGCATCTTCTGGCACCACCCCCTCTCATGTCTGCTCTCCCCCTAAACGATCCGCGGCCCCGCTGTCTGTTGTTTCTGTAACCACCTCGGATGGCCCCCACTGGTTCCGTCTTGATTTGGAACGCACCAGCTCCGCCGGCATTCCCACTAGTTCCTCCCCCGGTTATCGATCCGTATGACTTAGCATATTTGAATCCACGTTCATATGAAAGTGCAATACGATACACCTCCTCTGGTGTCTTCGTCGAGCGGCATAGCTCATTTTGGGCCTCCCTATTGTTCATATTTACGATGAACACATCCCGCAAAATCCTGGTCTCCAATGCTCCAAAATTACATCGAGCGGCTAACCCACTCAACACTGAGTGGAATTGTTCCAGCGATTCTCCTATTTGTTGCTTTCGTGCCAATAGTTGGAATGTTTCGTAAGTTTCGTTTCGTTCCTTCCGAAATTCGGTTTCGATAGTATCCAAAACTCGAGAATACCTTGTTGCAGCGAGATCCAGGTGTGGTTTTCTTTTATGTAGCTCATCCTGTCCTTTCTCCCCCAGGCACAAATACAAATTCGAGATAAGCGTTTGCTCCGACACCAGGCGATTTTTCCCATCGACCTCCTCTGGTAAATCTGCAAGTTGCGCTGCTGTTAACGTACTGGCATCATAGAAGTTCCGTGGATTTATGCTATGTTTGGCCACCATCCCCCATATAAAACGATTGAACCAAAACTCCCATAGCATTGGTGGTTCTGCGAGCGTCGAGGGCCAAAACGATGTAATTCCCAGTGGGTTCTTCCACCCACTTTGGCCTGCTGACTGCGCCATGTGAAAAGACGGTTTCGATGTATGAATTAAATGTCTTGTTAATAAGCAAACCGTAGTTCAGAAAGTAAGTCGGAGACAATAAGATAGCTGTCATCCGAAGGTGACAGACAAACTCCGAAGGTTAAATACCGGTTAGCGCCAAACAGATAATTGAAATAGATAACACGACTAGAATTGAAACATGAACTAAATTTAGATACTATGACAGAATCCACAACAAACATCGGTTTTTTTAAGGAAACTTCCACGCAGCACATCAGATCAGAAATGCCGGGCGTGTAGTCACATCGATCTATTGAAAGTTCTGCTGAAAAAACCGTTGACTGTATTCGGATTTTGATCAGTTTAAACCGGGAGGCGCACACTAAATTGAGTGGAATGGGGATCTGATGTGCGTTATAAGGTGTTGAATTGCGTCGTTACCAGATATGTCCGCATTCGGTAGTCTGTCCATTCAGTAAAAGTCACGGCTTGATCAGGTTTTGAAATCCAACTAGTTTTCCTTGGCTACTTTAATACTTGAGACGTAATCTTTAATTACATCTGTATTTATTAGGAGTCGCGGCACCATGTTACAAGGTAAACAAAACAAAAACAGAATCCGTTTTTGGCTCTTTTTCCATTTTCCCACCACCTCACATAAGCATCGATTTCATGGTGTAACGAGTGGTTTTACAAGGTTGAGTAAGTTTGTCATGGCCTAATTAGTCCGTATGCCATATTTTATGACAATCCGACAATGTGAATAGAAAAATGATTCAAAAAAATTAGCAGCTGAGGGGAAAACGAAAAAGAGCCCCGTTTTTAATTCACGAATAATTGCTCGAAATATTGCAACATCATTGTTAGTATCAAGCAACCCGCACCGAGCGCCCATGGATTCCCGAGACAAAAATAATCGATTTTAATCCATTACGGATGTAAAATTCAGACCACGAAATCGATTATATAGCCATTATAATCGATTATTTTTGAACAAATATAATCCATTATAATCCATTATAATCGATTTTAATCCATTATTTTTGTCACTGAAATCGATTATTTTTGCCAAGATAATCCATTATAATCGATTATTTTGAAATGAAAATCCATTATAATCCATTATAATTGATTATAATCCATTTCTAATCCATTTATAATCCATTTTTAGAACTAAATTCGATTATTTTTGCAAATTTTTAAAATTTTGCGAGAAGTTTGCAGAATTTGTGCCCTGTCTTTTACTAAATGCCATGTCTCAACTTCGTCCCCTCGCCCCCTCAAGCTTTTTACCCCCCCCCCCCCCCCCCACCTCCCCAACTAAAGGGGCAGGGTAAACTGGG